GGACACGGAACAATCCAATTTCGTAGTCCTAACTCACGAGATGAATCTGAATGCTAATAATATGAACAAGTTCTCAATTCTCATTTCTATACTAGAGGAAGAATGCATTCAGGCCCAAGTACAATATGAAAGCAAGATACAGACACACAAGGCGCTTAGTTCGCAACATCAACATACATATGACATATATATATTACTGCTGTGAATACACATACAAAGTGACATTACTCCGTAAACATGATTCAGTAATCCAGTAATTTGTTAATCCATTTCAAAGTTCCAGTCCTGAATATTGGATTTCATTGAACTACACATATCATTGCTAACATATCTGGAATAATTAGACATTCAGTTAACTTGAAACAGGTAGGTTACGGAAAAACTCCAACTACACATCACGCTGATACATGATACTGGAAGTGTGTTTTACAATATTAATACCTGGTTATTTTGGGCGATGACAGGCTGTGTGGACAAAAACCAATTTACTTAATGATAAAGATGAAATCTGAACTTTGAAATTTCATTCCATTTGATCACATGGCAAAAATATCATACCGAAGACAGTAGCATCTTTAATCAACAGAACAGAAGTTCATGTTGCAAACTTAATCAAATCTATTTCCACAGAAATTCTCCCATTCAGTTAATGACAGGAACAGATATCATGTCCAAAAGGTGAGTGAGTGAGTTTAGTTTTACGCCACTTTTAGCAATATTCCAGCAATATCATTGGGGGGGACATTTGAAGTCAGTGACCGAAGAAACATTACAGTCGATGTTGTGACATATATTGTTGGGATTTTTCCATCTTACCATTACTTCAAACCAGGTTTTCTTTGTGTCTAATGAGTACAAAATATTCTGTGCATTTTGAAATTTATTTTAATAAAATTTATATACCGAATTGACAGTTTCAAAACACTATTACAGGAAAATGTGTGATATTACTGTTGAGTATGATCAATATGCTTTTAATGCCAAGAAATGAATAAACATAATGCCATCTCAGATGTGTATGAGCCATGATATATGAACACGTAACACCAGAATATATATGTACACATAATATACTGGCATATATACAGTGTGATATACAGGCATATAATTCATGCCATGATATATACCTGCATGTTATGACATTATGTAAGTGCACATACCTTTGTGAAATAATTGTATAAATAACAAGATATATACATGAACAAAATGCCATGATATACAATCGAATACCATAATGAAAACATGGCTCATATAGATGACCGATACAAGAGGAAAAAGCTCTATACATGATGTACAGTGCATTGCAACACCACAATAACTAGCCATTTCAGAAATACTGTATTTATGAAAATATTGTAAATATTCTTGTCATATATCTTTCACGTTCACTGTCTTTGAACTTCAGCAATTTGCACTTCAAGCATTAACACTACCAGATACAAGTGTCAGGTAGTTAGAAAGCAATTACTCGATAGTCTGTCTCTCCCATACGATGATCATTACATTATTAATGCGTTACTGTCTGTCTACTACTTTGACAAACCAATGTTAACAAGTGACTCCACTAGCCCTAAGGAAATCTAGTTGTATTTGTTTATTCAACTTGAACTATCACATGGGTTTGCTCGTATCTGAATAGCCTGGTGATTAGCCCATCCCTTTACAACAAGATCACTCAACTTCTAGACCTGCACAGTAGGTTGTCTCGAAACAACAACCCTGTGATGTTCCCTGGCAGTAACTAGCTGCCTGTTACGCCATGATTTGAAATGTCAATAAACTACCTGCATATTATTAGACATGACCACGGCCACACAGAGAATGGACTCCAGGTATGTCCTGTTCATTTGTGACACTACAAGTGTGCCAATTTGTTGAAACACCACACAGATATTTCATTAGCTGTTTCAACAAGTTTCCAAGACCTTACAGAACTTACTTGTGCCTCTTTAACATTCACTAGTTTCTGTTTCAGAAGTCCGAGTCTTGTTAGAATACATACAACCTTCAGACGACAAGGGGACATTTGGTCTCCTAAATGTGTAGGAAAATTATTGTTTCCTTAACAACTATGTTATGACAAGGAAACTTTGACTCAAATCTGATTTGAATTTAAGTGAGTGAGTGAGTGAGTTTAGTTTAGTTTTACGCCGCACTCAGCAATGTTCCAACTATATGGCGGTGGTCTGTAAATAATCGAGACTGGACCAGACAATCCAGTGATCAACAGCATGAGCATCGATCTGCACAATTGGGAACCGATGACATGTGTCAACCAAGTCAGCGAGCCTGACCACCCAATCCTGTTAGTCGCCTCTTACGGATTTGTATTTAACAGAGTTAAATATACCAATGCTTTGTCTCACTAACTTAGTTCTTCCTACATATTGTTCAGTACATACTGCACGTGTCTGACATTCTAGTCTGTGAAACTCTTCTGCTGATGGTTATACTTGAAGAGTGATCCTCCATAGTCAGTATGCACACTGTACCGAATACACTTGTACTTTTAGTGTCATTATTTCATGTACAAAATTTGGAGCCTTAACTTCAGTGTGGTGGTTGACAAAAAAAAAGTCAGTAAAGAATAAACAAGGCAAGTCACACTGTTGCGGAAGTATGATAATGAATGAATGTAGACAGTGGGTATTTTCTTGTTGCTGTTTTTGCTGTAATATATTTATTCATACATCATTCACAGTTTCTAAAGAACACATGATGGTCCCTCGTGGGTTTTTTCTTCATTTAAAAAAAAAAGTCAACCAAAACAAATGTCAAAAGATTTTAGTTTTTCTTCTAATGTCAATTTTTTTTCCATGGGTCTTGCAAACCCACTAAGAAAAACAAAAGGCCCTGTCATATGTCACTATGATACATACTGCCTGCACATTGTCTACAGATGTCCCATTAGGCAAATACATATACATTTATGTTTCACATTGTTCCCAACACAAAAAACAAAGATGTTTAGAGTTCATTGAATAACACATTTCAGCTATAAGATATATACACATTCAACCCATAAATCAAATGAATGTAACAATGTTATTCCATGTTGCGAGTGACCTGACCAGATCACTAAAGCCAACATACTGTACTGTTATCAACATGGTAGCAATGTGTGTGCATAATGGTAACAATGTATATGATGAGTGCCACAGTATCTGCTCTGTAACAATTGGATCTACATGGACTTAACCAATCAGGTTACAGTAGGTGTGGGTGATGACAAAGGCTCCCTGTGTAACTGTATTTGCTGTAGATCAATCAATCTTCGATTCATCCATCGGTATGAAGGGATGTGTAAAATTCAATTACATTTCACTTATGTACTTTCAATCATACATCAAATTACAAATTACGTAACAGCTAAGTAAACCTGGGAACCTTTACGCTTCAGCGGCAGATACTGTCGTTATACACTATTCTGTCATACTCATGCAATATACAAGCAGGTTGATTGACAGATGAAATTGGTGACTCGTATGCGATGCCATGGATGCTCAGGAATGCTTTACTAAAACAAGCAGCATCAAGTGAGCCTTTACAAAGTGTTAACAGAGACCTATAAACCATGAATGAATAAATAGTGTAACAACTGGTACATTAACACCTGGACAACAGGTAATTAGCAGTAACATACAGCTGTGTGTGACACATGAGAGATTAATACCCTAGGTAATACGCAATCAATAACAGAGGATATATGGCCTCTTGTACATTGAAGGTAATCAAGTGCAGGACCAGCCTGGGACATGAGATGGGAAGCCAGTGCTGGAGAATAGGGTGGTAGAGCTGGGAAGTGGTGTGAGGGGTAGGAGGGGTGGTATACCTGTGGAAGAGGAGTGTGTGGCTCTTGGGCAGGGGTAGGGGGAGTATAGTAGGGGGAGTGGAGAGTGTGTGTGTGTATGGAAAGTGGGGGGGGTGTTCTTGGGTAGGGGTAGGGGGAGTATAGCAGGGAAAGTATAGAGTGTGTGTGTATGTATGGGGAAGTGGTGTGTGCATCTGTGCGCATAAGGTACAGCTGCAGAAGTGGAAGGTGTGGAGGCTAGGGGACCAAGAGTAGGTGAGTAGGGAAGAACAGGGTCACGTTCCTCAAAGCAATCGTAGAGCTACGATTATCGTAATTCCCATACTTTATCATAGACTTACGACTGTTGTAGCGCTACGATCGCTTTGAGGAACAGGGCCCAGGTAAGATGGATAAAGACTAGGAATGGGGAAGGTATATCTTGAGATTTGTGTGTGTGTGGCCTGGCTTCAGACTGGACTCAACTGTTCAAAGTGTAAAAGAAAAATTCACAAGAAACAAACAAAGATCCCCTGAGCTACACACTATCGCTTACCCAGTCACCCACAATTACGTCTCTCTGTTCTTGGGTGGGGCAGGAAGGGGGCAGGTGGAATAATCATTGAACGGATTGGACGAATTTGACGACAAACCGCCAGTAAATATTTTCATCATAGAATAATGTGCAGTTCATTTCTCGAGGGCAGTGACAGAGGAACACGTTTCCTGTTGAGCGGGCTGTACTTGGGAAGGGACTAGTTAATGTTTTATGATATACAGGTGAACAGGTAGGTGGGGCTGGAAATGCAACTTCACAAGTTTATGGATGAAGGGCAATGCACTTGAGAGTGGGACCCATTAAAGCGAAGGCTGAGGACACACAGCCACGAGGGACAACTGTAAATAATACAAAAAGCATTTACACTAGCAGGATGGTGTAGTCCGGAGGAAACTATTCACGGTTTAATTCTCTGCTGTGTGCAGTCTGCTTGTAATAGAATGTCCGATGATCATTAATGTGACACACATTCTCAGTGTCATCGTCATTTTTGTCGCATGAGTGTCAGCTGAAAACATGTTAAGGTTAAATCACCGCCGAACCACTGTCGTATTTCAACTCACAGCATGCAAATGGGGTATGGCTAGGTGAGTAGGAGTAGGTCATTCATATTCACACACTGTCGATCAACAAAGAAGGAAAAAAACTTACTTGTCATATTCTGAATTATCCTTCTCACATCGAGCATCTTTATTCTTCTGCCACCCTTTCCCATGTCTACAAGTTGTCAATAACACAATATCCTTTCCATTATGAATATGATACAAAGCATTCCTAGTGTCCGATCCGATGCCAGTAAGGTACCGCTTTCCTTTGAATGCTAGAAGATAGTTTCTGGATGAAGGGATGTTATTTGATGAGGCACCGAGGTAACCTTTTTCACCCCCCTTTTGAGGATGTTCTTTGGCAAAAAGAGGGAAAGAAACGTCAAATCCTGGCCTAAATTTCCAAATTGACATACTAGCTTTGGCTAAAATTGCTTCACCTATATCAAAACCTAAATTTTCCACGTAGTCCGGCCACGTACCGGAATAGAGATTAAATATAATATGATTTCTCCCATTGTTCCAGTACGGGAGAGCTTCTAACTTTACCTGTACATCTCGAATAAAATCTACACTAAGCACATCTTGATCCAGAGTATCTATGGCGGGAATAAACACACATGCTTCCTTGGGATCCGGGGTATAAAACCTCGACTCCTGTACCGATGTGAGGATCTTGGAGTATGAGTTTGACATTGGGTAAGCGTTTTGACGCGGGTACACATAAACTTTGTAACCATTTTTGCAGAGGTTGAAGTCGAAGCACGTTTCCATTCGGCACCTCTGTTTTTTATGCTGCGTGGCCGTAGCTCTCCTCCGTTTTGGAGATGTGTGGTCGTCCTCGGAAAACCCATGGTAGTCACTAGGGTCGAGAAACCCTCGGGTCCCGATTTGGGATATGGTACCTTCACCAGCATGTCGCCGTCCCAGACATAAATAACCCACAACAAGGAGAAAACCACATACAGACACCCAAATATATCGCTTTATCGCCTGCATCGAACAAACCTCCTCATCCACACTGTTCTGTCATTTTGGATGGTCTACAGTACACTAATTCCGGTGAAATACCCGGAAACTGTCTACCGAGACAACAAGCTTTCAGACCACGCCGCCATCTTTTGCAGTGTACACACAGTTTGATCCCCGTAAGAAAAGATCCGTGTGAATGAAATATGCTCGCGTGTGCAAATATTGCTTGGGCTCTCCGTCGCCTCGTTATGTCGCCCAATCGCAGTCGCGCAACTGACCCTCTGTGACCGCTACCATTTCACCCCAGTCACAACCGTGATTGGCAACAAACTATGACGTATATATTTCCGTAGTTCAACATTCATCTACTCCCACTGAGCAGTTAAACTGACTTCGGACTTCAACACTCCCGTCAAAGAGGCATACTTATCGTATAAATATTCATTTACAAAGCAAATTTACGTACAAGAGCCATTTTATGCATATGGTAATCTGATAAACGCATAGAAAACAAATATACTCAAATATAATCCATTTTTTAAAATACTGAAAATATCTCCGCACATATCAGTATGAGATGAGTGACAGACAATATGAACATGGAGCGTGCGTCAGTGATAGCAGGGACATGGTATACAGATTACCATTGTTTTGTTTCCACGTGTGACAACCCATCCCAAGTTTGGAAGTACTGCAGTGATGTAGATATAAGCGGTAACTGCGGTATATACCATGAACACACCTTATCGGAATTTTGTTTAAAAGTCGCCCGGTATTGACCGAGAAAAGGTATTTTATATCACTAGATTTAGAAATTCATAAACATTCGACTTATCTCTAGGATATTGAGTAGAATGTACATTGTATTTTGAAATTTTAGCCTTACCCCCGAATCTGTTAAAGGAGCGACACGCAATGACATAAATATGATTTATTGTCCCTTGGTTTATACCGTCACTGAAAGGATAGATTCGACAGAGAAATGACGGTGGGGTTTTCCGATATTTCCACGACTTTCAGTTCTGTCTCAATTACAGTTGAAAGTCTTGTATATTTGTATATTCGCCAATCAGTAATATCGGCACTAATAATTGTCGCTTCCTGATTGAGTCATGTGAGTTGTTCTGGGTAAATGTATCGATTGACAATTGTGAAATATATTTGAAAACTTGTTTACCGATAATTAATAACATTTTACGCATGAAAATACGTCAGTTTGGTTTCTGGTAACATGGTCGTTATATAGATTTGATACTCACTCAATGAATAATTATTTATAGATCCCTTCGTTTTAACACGTCAAAAGCTGTCACTGATTGTCCTCGTTTTAACACTGTCCAGCTGTTGATTGGTTCACTGCCCAGCTTTGTCATGTTTTCCAACTATTGATACTTAAATAAATCTTTAATGATTTCCACAATAAATAGTGTTTCATTTGACATAACATAGCGCAATCTGTATTTTCAATGCCAATTAACTGTCACGCTGTCGAATATCGTATTTCCATAGGGATGTATTTGTGTCGACACCGGGTCGTGTCAGTTTCGCGATGTCAGTGTGTGTGTCAAGAGTAGAAGCGAGCCCATGTGGTGGGAGAATAATCATAGACCGTACCGTGTTGTTAAAACTCACAATTTTCATGAGTTCGAGCAGCATACACGGAGGGAAAAGGCACAAATAAAAATTCTTCCTGAGATAGATACAGAAACTAAACTCAATTTAATGCACTGAGAAAAAAATCTGCGCGTGACAGTTCACACACTTTGTGATTGTGTGACGTCACAGCTCTCAGGCGATAGGCTTTCTTTTCAAATGGGGAGGCGATTTGTCTAAGCTTTAAATCTCACCAGTCACATAATCAAAGTAGCCTATCATTTCCTTATCTCATGCTAAAATCAATAGACCAAGCTATTTACTCATGCAAAATGTTTTTAAGTAGTTGTACTGACAGAAATAAGCCTAATAGCAGTATACGTCAAAAAGTCGATAGATAGGTGAACAGATGTATTCTATATCAACTATAAAGTGATCTTAGTTATGTATTGTTATTTCAAATACGGCTGATAATTCCCTCATACTTGGGATTACAGTGTAGGACTGATTGATATAAGGATAATCTTAATTATTCAACTAATTATTTAATTATCAATGTTCTTGATTGTGCCATGACCAGAAAAATAAACTTAAAATCTGAGAATGTCCCCGACTATGTTTATGACATAAACCTTAAGGGGCTGGTCGTTTTTGACAGACGGTCGTGGGTCAAATTTGTGAAGTACTAATGTACAACAAATAATGACTTCTAATGCTTGTCATATATTTGGATGTCACTCCCCATGTTCTTGTAGTGACTGAGTGAGTTGGGTTTTACGCCGCTTTTAGCAATATTCCAGCAATATCACGGCGGGGGACACCAGAAATGGGCTTCACACATTGTACCCATGTGGGGAATCGAACCCGGGTCTTCGGCGTGACGAGCGAACGCTTTAACCACTGGGCTACCCCACCGCACCCATGTTCTTGTAGATTTCTATGCAACTCTAAAGTTGTATGTGTATCACCTTTTGTTAACCTCTACTGCGAGTAATGTCATATTCCTGGTGACCCTACCCAATTCCCTTTAACCCACCACCCTACCACACCCTCCGAATAATGAAAAGACTTACAAAAGAATAACAAATAGAAGGATTAATCGAACGAATATTTTTATCGTACTTACGAATCCGTGACTCGTCCTTTTCTGTATGGTCTCGATACAGGACGTTTTGCAAATACACTAAGAATCACCACGTGTACGAGTACTGTACCATGAGCAAAATTAAAGCCTCATGAAAACGTGAGTGTATGTTGTTTGACGCCGCTGTGAACGGTATTCCGGTTACATTCCTGCATGTCAGACTGATGGGAGGAAAACCCTAAGGGAGGCAACCCGTTTACCACGCCACTGACACGGGAAAAGTGCTGAAAAATCATAATTATCCAGAGCCGGGATACGAACCGACAGTCATCGGTTTCTGGCACATCTAAGGGACACAACTCTGCACATAGATTTGCGACATGCACGAACGTGTATATTGTACAAATGTATTCAAACATATATAAAGGGGGTCTAATTAAACAGCAGTTGGGGCGGTGGGGTAGCCTTGTGGTTAAAACGTCCGCTCGTCACGCCGAAGACCCGGGTTCCATTCCCCCACAAGGGTACAATATTTTTGGTGTCCCCCGCCGTGATATTGCCGGAATATTGCTAAAAGCGGCGTAAAACTGAACTAAACTCACTCACTCAATAAACAGCTTTCAATAACTACTGAGTTGAGCCAATCACCGATTGTCAGTTGGTGGTTGGAAAGCCCACCGTGACTGTTCATACAGCTACTACTTCTGTAACAACAATGAACACGGGTACATGGCGCTGACTAATCAAGGGTCATATATCATAGAGCTGTGCAGAGCTTCACACCGCTGAGGCACACACTTCCGGCTACTTACATATAACGGGGCAAAGTAAAAAAACATATCGATAATGTTTACTCTGGTTTCTGTTTAGTCACGTTTGCCTGTACTCGAATCTATCAATCAACCCTAAGGAAACTGGTGGGAAAACCGACACCAAGAGGAACCCGTGAAGATCCGGGTTAGAAGTGTAATTCAGCTACCCATGCTTGTCGTAAAAGGCGACTATTGGGATCGTCCCAATGTGCGTAGAACGATGCTCATGATGTCGATCACTGGATTGTCTGGTCCGGATTAGATTTCTTACAGATCTGACAAACGTTAGGCTTGCGTAACTTTGGACTACTACTTGCATCGAGTTAGACTTATTGCTTCACTTTGGACTGCTCTCGTCTCTTTAGGCTTCCTTCAACCGTGGACTACTATTCTCGCGTCACTTTTGGCTTCCTGCAGCTGTGGACTACTATTCTCGCGTCACTTTTGGCTTCCTGCATCCGCGGACTACTATTCTCGCGTCACTTTTGGCTTCCTGCATCCGCGGACTACTATTCTCGCGTCACTTTTGGCTTCCTGCAACCGCGGACTACTATTCTCGCGTCACTTTTGGCTTCCTGCAACCGTGGACTACTATTCTCGCGTCACTTTTGGCTTCCTGCAGCTGTGAACTACTATTCTCGCGTCACTTTTGGCTTCCTGCATCCGCTGTGGACTACTATTCTCGCGTCACTGCTGTGAACTACTATTCTCGCGTCACTTTTGGCTTCCTGTGGACTACTATTCTCGCGTCACTTTTGGCTTCCTGCAACCGTGGACTACTATTCTCGCGTCACTTTTGGCTTCCTGCAGCTGTGAACTACTATTCTCGCGTCACTTTTGGCTTCCTGCATCCGCGGACTACTATTCTCGCGTCACTATTCTCGCGTCACTTTTGGCTTCCTGCATCTCGGCTTCCTGTCACTTTTGGCTTTACTATTCTCGGTCAACCTGCAACTGCGCGGACTACTATTCTTGCATCACTTTGGGTCACTACCTGCAACCGCGGACTACTATTGTCGCATCACTTTCGGTCACTACCTGCAACCGCGGACTACTATTCTTGCGTCACTTTGGGTCACTACCTGCAACTGCTGACTACTATTCTTGCATCACTTTGGGTCACTACCTGCAACCGCGGACTACTATTGTCGCGTCACTTTCGGTCACTACCTGCAACCGCGGACTACTATTCTTGCGTCACTTTGGGTCACTACCTGCAACTGCTGACTACTATTCTTGCATCACTTTGGGTCACTACCTGCAACCGCGGACTACTATTGTCGCGTCACTTTGGCTCACTACCTGCAACCGCGGACTACTATTCTTGCGTCACTTTGGCTCACTACCTGCAACTACTATTATTGGACTACTATTTCTTGCATCACTTTGGGTCACTACCTGCAAAACCGCGGACTACTATTCTTGCATCACTTTGGGTCACTACCTGCAACCGCGGACTACTATTCTTGCATCACTTTGGGTCACTACCTGCAACCGCGGACTACTATTGTCGCATCACTTTGGGTCACTACCTGCAAAACCGTGGACTGCTATTGTCGCGTCACTTTGGCTCACTACCTGCAAAACCGCGGACTACTATTATCGCGTCACTTTGGGTCACTACCTGCAACCGCGGACTACTATTGTCGCGTCACTTTGGCTCACTACCTGCAACCGCGGACTGCTATTATTGCGTCACTTTGGGTCACTACCTGCAACTGCTGACTACTATTCTTGCATCACTTTGGGTCACTACCTGCAGCCGCGGACTACTATTGT